GCAGTTTGTGTCAAGAGCTCTCTCAGCCCCCACCTACCTCACAGGGTATCTGTTGTGGGGAGGGGAGGGGAAGGGAAAGGAGTTTGTAAGCCGCTCTGAGACTCTGAGTGAAGGGAGGGGTATAAATCCAATCTCTTCTTCTCCTCCTCCTTCTTCATCATCAGTCTCTTGTAGACAGATGGTGTGAGGGTTGCCACTAGTCCTCAGGTGGGGGCAGGGGATCCCTTGGTTTGGAGCCCATCCTCCCACTTCAGGGCTATCCTCCCTCCTGATCTCTATGGAAGGGAGAGATGTCTAAGGGTAGGGAATATCCTAACTTTAAAAGCTGGACTGTGCACCCCACTCCTCCACATGCAGACAGCTGGGTGACCTTGGGTCAGTCACAGTTCTCTCAAGAGCAGTCCTCGAAAGAGCTCTCTCAGCCCCACCTACCTCACAGGGTGTCTGTTGTGGGGGAGGGGGAGGGAAAGGCGCTTGTAAGCCGCTCTGAGATTCCGAGAGAAGGGCGGGGTATAAATCCAATCTCCTCCTCCTCCTTAATGAGAAGGGAGGGAATGCTGGTGAGACCCAGAAAATGGAGTATATATTTTTCACTTGCGTGGAAGAAAAGAGACTGTGACAGCAGTCATGAAATTAAAAGACGCCTGCTCCTTGGGAGGAAAGCGATGGCGAACCTAAACAGCATGATAAAAAGTAGAGACATCACCCTGCCAACAAAAGTCCGCATGGTCAAAGCAATGGTATTCCCAGTAGTCATGTATGGCTGCGAGAGTTGGACTATAAGGAAGGCCGAGCGCCGAAGAATAGATTATTTTGAACTATGGTGCTGGAGAAGACTCTTGAGAGTCCCTTGGACTGCAAGAAGATCAAATCAGTCAATCCTAAAAGAAATCAACCCTGACTGTTCCCTGGAAGGCCAGATAATGAAACTGAAGCTCAAATACTTTGGCCACCAAATGAGAAGGGAGCACTCACTGGAGAAGACCCTGATGCTGGGAAAGATTGAAGGTCAAAGAAGACGGGGACGGCAAAGGATGAGATGGTTAGACAGTGTCATCGATGCAACGAACATGAAGTTGAGCAAACTTCAGGAAGACAGGAGGGCCTGGCGTGATCTGGTCCATGGGGTCGCGAAGAGTCGGACTCGACTGTGCAACTGAATAACAACAAAAAACAGAGTTGCAGTCTTCGAAGCTCATTGACTTGGTTTGTTGGCAGCGCTCATGGAGATTACAATGAAAACAATTAATCCAGTTTAAACCCATTGATCTGAAATTAGGGTTGCCAGCTCCAAACTGGGAAATACATAGAAATTTGGAGGGGTGGAGCCTGAGGAGGGCGGGGCTTGGAGAGGGGAGGGACCTCAATGGGGGCGGGGGGAATAAATCCAATCTCCTCTTCTCCTCCTCCAGGGGAACTGATCTCTGTCGCCTGGAGACCAGTTCTAATCCCAGGAGATCTCCAGGCACCACCCGGAGGCTTGGAAGGGAGTAAGTTATACAAAAGATACAAATCGTCCCTAAGTGACGAAAAGCATTCAACAGTCAATGAATACGATAATCCGAACCAGTATAAATAGTGTGGTTTGTCAAAAACATAATAGCCAGAAACTCAAAAATACATGGTCCAAATATACAAATAACCTTCAGAAATAGTCCAAGTCAAATTCCTCTAACAGTGAAAAGTCCAAACACTGATTTTCCTGACCCAAGTGGATACACAAGCAGTGAGACACATTTTGCGAAGAGGAATTATAAACACTGATGTTCAGACTTTTTACTGTTTGAGGAATTTGACTTGGACTATTTCTGAAGGTTATTTATGTATTTGGAGAGCCAGTTTGGTGTAGTGGTTAAGTGCACAAACTCTAATCTGGGAGAACCAGGTTTGATTCCCCACTCCTCCACTTGCAGCTGCTGGATGACCTTGGGCATGGTCACAAGTTCTGGCACAGCTGTTCTTGAAAAAGAGCAGTTTGTGTCAGAGCTCTCTCAGCCCCACCCACCTCAGAGGGTGTCTGTTGTGGGGAGGGGAAGGGAAAGGGATTTGTAAGCCGCTCTGAGACTCCAAGTGAAGGGCGGGGTATAAATCCAATCTCTTCTTCTTCTTCTTCTTGGACCATGTATTTTTGCGTTTCTATTATATTGTATTTTTGATAAACTACACTATTTATATAGGTTCAGATTATCGTATTCATTGACTGTTGGATGTTTTTCGCTATTTAGGCACGGTTTGTATCTTTTGTATAAGTTACCACCTGCAGGCTGGCAGCTCTAAACTGAATGGACTTGGGTTGGAGTGAGTGTAGTAACACAGAGGTGCACAGTGCTACTCTTTAATATTGTAAGTAATCATTTTTTTTGTCTCCATAGCCCCAAACATATCTCTTTAAGCTTCTTGCTACTGTTTGCACGAACAGCCGAAACATCTTCAGGGTGAAATTTTCAGAGAACAACAACTGTATAAACATCCATAAAGGATGAATGGGAAAGATAAAGAGTGTGTAGAATGCCAGTCAACCAGAGTCAATGGGGAGGCTGTTGATAACTTCAAATAAGAGCAAAAATGATGTCTGTGCTGAGTTCTTATGGAAAATTCCAACAACTGGAATCATTTTTCTTCTCTCTTTAATGTCCAGTAATGGATTTGGAACAAAGGCGGCTCTTATTGACTAAATTTGGACAGCATCAAAGACCAGATGTTCAGTGCTCAAAAGCTTTTAGAAGGAAAGACACTGATTTTTCACAATGGATTTTTCTCTTTTGCAGAATCTTTGATTTTAAAGGTCACATACCCAAATACTATTAATATTCCTCAGTGATACAGTATGTAAGAGTAGCTCAGCTTCAAAGCCTGTAAACATTGTCACTGGGGAAAAAAACCTCTAGTGACTTCAACTGATCTAATTTAATATGCTTATAAAGGCCATTTATTCTGTGAGGTTATATTTTATACTTAACAAGTGGGGCCCCACAAGACTCGGGGGGGGGGAGGATCCCATCTCCCCCTGACTCTCTGCTGAGCCCAGTGTGGCCCCCAGGTTCTCCAGAAGCCACCTCCAGGCCAGAATGGAGCTCCGGGCTGTTTGGCAGTCACCACCAGGCCCAACATGGCCCCGTACTCTCCCTGAGTTGTGCCTCCACCGCTGTGTCCAACGTGACTTCTGGGCTGTGCTGATGCTTGTCGCCAAGCCTGGAGAGGCCACCAGTTTCTCCCTGGGCTGGGCTGCTGCTACTGAGCCTAGTGCAGCTCCTGGGCTGCGCAGCCGCCACTGGGCCCAGCATGGAGCCCTGGGGTGCTCTGTTGCTGGGTTTAGTGTGGCCCCTGAGCTCTCTGTGGCTGCTCTGCCACTGCCAAGCCCAGCACAGCTCCCAGGCTGTGTGTCCACTGCCACTGGGCCCAGCGCAGAGACCCAGGGTGTGCTACTGCTTCTGTGGGACCCAGCATGGCTCCTGGTCCCCCCCAACTACTGAGATAGGTGTGTTCTCTGCACTTGTGCAGAGAACACTATTTTACTTTGGGGGGAATTTAACCCCCTGTGGTAGTGGGTTGTTTTTGTTGTTGTTGTTGAAGATTTAAGTTTTTCCTGCAAACCGAGGGTTTCCCCAGGTTTTCAGAAAAGTCTCTTCCAATCCGCAGATTTAGATATCCACAGATGGTGGCCACAGGTCACTAAAATATATATAGATTGTCACATGGAGGCCATTGGGCTTATTTTTCATTTCTGGCAAGATGGAAATAGATTGTCATATGGAGGCCATTGGGCTAATTTTTCATTTCTGGCAAGATGGAAGGAAAGCTGTCATACTGAAAAGGAGAGCAGAGGAATGGCAAAGCCAATAGGTGTACTGATTCCAACCCGCTCTCTAAAAAAGGTCTGATTGGACGTCTTAATCGGACCTCCTTTAGAGAGCGGATTGGAGTCAGCACACCTATTGGTTTTGCCATTCCTCTGCTCTCCTTCTCAGTATGACAGCCTTCCCAGAAATGAAAAATAAGCTGACTCCAATGTGCTCTCTAAAGGAGGTCCGATTGGACTTAACAGGTGCAAGGAGATTTACTAACACAGGGTTTCGATCCAGACATTTTTTTCCACTGGGGAGAGAGTGTTTCCTCTTGGCCACCCAAAAAAGGTACTCTTCAGATCATGGGAGCTACATGGACAATAGCCAGTACTTTTCTCCCTTTCTCAC